AGAGTGTATACACCGACGCCATTGTGATCGATTCTGAGCCATGTCACCAAGAGTCTCCAACCATTGGTTACGAAAGTCACGCGGACCCCAACCAAGTAGTCTGCATCTACCAACATGGCTAAGACTAGAAGTTAGTGACTTCAAGCACTGATGCCACGTTTTGGTTTGGCCGCCCCTAACTTTCTTCCAACCATCCCCTACACCGGTTAGCATTGCACGTCGTGGTAATCGGTGTTCAGGCATACGTAATACGTGGCCCAACCATCTCAGTCGATGAAGATTCATAACCTCATCAACTGATTTACCATCATTCCCTAATACCCTGCGTCTAACCTCACTATTACTTACCCGGTGATCCCAGCAGATACCAGCAATATTTCTAAGGCATCTGTGGTCAAATACTTGTAGTTTACGGGTGTCTTCTACTCTTAAGGGCCATGTTTCGCTGCCGTAAAGTAAGACAGAACGGACTGCCGCGCAGTATACTCGTCCTTTTATTGATAGACGGATATCTCGCCTCCGCCAAAGGTGACGTAAGTTGGCAAAAGCCAAACGAGCTTTTCGAATCCGTGCTGAGATTTCGTCAGACGCCAACCCATTAGGGCTGATCAGACTTCCAAGATAAGTGAAGTTGTCGACGCGTTCGACTACTTCACTCCCTATCCTTAGTTCAGGTGTTGACGCACACCAGTCCTGAAGCAACAACTTGCATTTAGAGGGAGAGAAGCGCATCCCAAACATTCTGGCATTGTTGCTTAGTGCTACCAGAAGACTCTGCATTTTGTCAGCGTCTTCACCAAACAGGACTATATCATCTGCGTATTCTAAGTCGATAAGTGGACCTCCTGGAAGGAGATCAGTACCCGAGAATTCAGTCGACGAGTGTTATTTCCATCAATAGGTCTATGATGAAGTTAAACAAAAATGGAGAAAGTGGACAGCCTTGACGGACACCACTTGAAGTTGCAAAAGTAGATGACAGTTCGCCATAAGCTCTGACTCGACTAGTAGTGTTCGAGTAAAGAGCCTTCACAAGGTTTATGTACTTCTGAGGTACGCCTTTCAATGACAGACACTGCCACAGAGTCTCGCGGTCTACAGAGTCAAACGCTGCTTTTAAGTCAAGAAAGACCACCATTGTCGGACGCCGATAGGTATGCCTGTGTTCTAGAACCTGACGAATGGTGAATATGTGGTCGATGCAGCCACGACCAGGTCTAAAGCCAGCTTGGTTCTCTCGAGTTTGTAGTTCACGAGTCTTAGTTAGACGTCTGATAATTATCGAGGCCAGTATTTTAGATACTATGTTTGTTAAACTAATCCCTCTGTGGTTGTCACAGGATGATTTTGACCCTTTCTTATATATTGGGACGATAAGTGATTGCGACCAGTCAGATGGGATAAAGTCTAATTCCCAGATCTTAGCTAAAATATTAGTCAACCTAATCGCTAAAATTGGACCACCATCCTTAAAGACCTCTGGAGCCAATCTATCTGGACCAGCTGCCCTTCCTCGTTTCAGATTAACTAAAGCCTTTTGAACTTCAGCAAGAGTTGGAGGACCTACTTCAATGTTCCATTCACATTGTCTGGAAATGGAGGGTAGTTGTAGAGTAGCTGAAGGCCAGCTGAACTGTTCTGTAAAATGTTCCGCCCATCGTTCTAAACGTCTGGACTGGGAGCAGATGAGAGTATCATCTTTTTCCGAAATAATCTCACTTACACTTGACTTATTAATTCCAGATTCTTTTATTAGTCTGTAAAGCTGTCTTGTGTTCCCTATAGTCGCCGCCTTTTCCATCTCTTTTGCTTTCGTTACCCACCACTGCTCACGGTCGTTCTTTAGACTTTTTCTTAACCTAGATCTGATTTGTTTTCGCTCTTCATCATGTTCAGAACCTGATGGGACGAGTTTGCGAGAATCCATCAGTGTGACAGACCTTGAAGAAATCCACTGGTTCCTTGCAACTCTGTGGTTTAAGTCACTGATAGATGTCACTGCTGTTTCCACAGCTGATTGTATGCCCTTCCAAGCAACATCTGGGTCAGCCTCGTCTTCACAATTACCTAAGTGTGACCTCAGTTGTTCCTGGAACCTACTTTTGGTTTTCTCGTTACTCAACTCAGTTCTAACGGGTCTTTTTAATGTGGCTTTTTTGCGTCCAGTGAGGCGCAAGCAGATGCGTGCCCGTATTAGGGCATGGTCGGAGTCCAAGCAGGTACCCCAGAATGAGCGACAATCTTCTACCGACCCTCTCCAACGATGACTGATGGCAATATGGTCTATTTGAGTCCATCGTTGGTTTGGTGTAGGGGGTCGCCATGTTAGACGATGTCTCTACTTATGCTTAAAATTTGTGTTTGCTAAAAATAAACGATTGTCTGAGCATAGTTGCAGCAGACGGTCACCATTATCTGTTTGCTGTGTCGGAATACTAAAATATCCACCTAAATGCCTTTCTGTTTGGTTTAAACTGCCTATCTGAGCATTAAAATCACCTGCTACGAGTACTATGTCTGAGCGTTTAGCTTTCTGAAGAAGTTCGGACAGCTTTCTGTAAAATTCATCTTTCACATCATCTGAGCTGCAGTCAGTGGGAGCGTAGGCAGAAACGACGAAAAGGCAACGACGTGTATCCCTATCCTTCCGAGTTCTTACGTAGCCGTTCAGCCGAACAGCACATAGACGACTGTTGACGGGGATCCACTCTAGCAGTGCTTGTTCGGCCCTCATGCTTAGTGCTATGCCTACACCTGCCAGTCCACGAGAACTGGCCATCGGGTCACCAGATACACGAAGGGTGTATCTCGTTGGCTCTCCGTTTTGCCGAGGTGAGGTCAAGTGAATGACCACACTGGGATCCTGTATGCGTGTTTCAGAGACACAGCATACATCAATGGAAAGAGACTCTAGGGTTTTAGCAAAGGAAGCCTGCTGACCGATTTGACATAGAGTGCGTACGTTGAAAGTTCCAATGTGTAGTTTGGAGCGAGGTTTCAGTAGACCTGGGACAGTTTTGAGCACTAGAATCGTTGTCTATGGTGGCACTTGAGGAGGAAGCCGAAGGAGGAAGTTTAGGGTTGAAAGTCGATGTAGGAGGAATAATAGGAATTGAAGAGGAAGGTTGATTATGAATACAGTGGTCTTGGGTGCTGTTAGAGGTATGAGGGCGGTTATTACTTCCCGGTTGCCCACACCGTGGAAGGGTTCTTCTGGAGGTACCTGAAAAGGAAATTGGATTAGAGGTGGTCTCAGTGACCTGAGAGCGTGACCGCAGTGCCCAAGGGACAACTGCTTGAGGCCGGTCGCGCACGGCCTTTTTGTGGGAGGTTTTCGACGTGTTAGCTCCGTTCTTCAAGGGGCCTTACCGCCGGAGACGGAAATCCGTGAGGTAAGGTGAGGTGTGCATTTTTAGGGTCGACCTTTTCTAACCCCACATCTCCTTGTGGGAAGGCAGCATCGCTGTCATGCTGGTTGTCTGAAGGAAACACCTTACTGCTGTCACACCTCTGTACAGTCAGCAGTACGACTTCGCCTTCGGACCTTGGGTTTGTTGCTTTTAGTCTTACCGCTCTTCAACCGACCTGTCTGACAAGGTAGGACCTTGAGGAACGGTTGTTCCAGCCAGTATAGCTCGGTTGCTTCATCACGATAGGCAAGCCCGACCACCACGTCAAGGTAGCAACAACGGTCGGGAATAATAAACTGTAAATAATTTGGATGTTTGCGTTTTGATAGAACTACGCATGTCAGCCTTGAAGAAATTGAAGGGTATACATTTTTGTGATTGTCATTAAACATAATGCTAAAAATGCCATTTCAAGAGTATACAGAGAGAAATACAGCATGTTCATATCATTCACTCACATTTATACAACAGTACTCAAATATACCATGACTAACTCAAGATATATGACAGCACGAAACTACAATCTTGGCTAGATCGATATGGCTTTAGCTTTTGAAATAGTTCCAGAAATTGCGGTTGTCTCAACTACGAGTTAACGTGTAACCGCTATTCGACTATAATCAAGATTTCAGATCGTTTGTCAAATGTTTGTACACTTCCCTCTAGATGTCATTACAAATAAGAGAACTTTCGTAAAGGCACGAACTACTGAACCCATAATACAAAGAGACGAAGTTAAGAATCTGATGCTTAATTGAATGCAATGTAAGCAGTGAACATGGTTTGTATCCTAGTTTTTAGTTGTTGGTTTATAAAAGCAATCACTCAGAGAAAATGATTAAAATAGATATCCTATGCTAATCGGTCTTGAGTGGACCAGGTTATCGACAGGAGACTAGACACCTGACAAAAAACAGTGGCAACGTGCCCATGAATTTCCTTATAGAGGTGAAATGTCTCGAAATTAACACCACGACCTCTGCTTAAATTAGTCAAGTGATCTACTTTTTCACTAAACCTCAGTCTGAGGAAGTAAGGAAAATTAGGCTTCTTAATACCCATACAGAACTTCCCTTGATTTTTGTGTTGGGACTACAGCTTGTGGTTGACGTGTTAATGTAGATTTTGAAGTTATCTACCTACTAAGGTCAAACAATGGTCGTAGATTAGTGTGCGAATTCGAACTGGGATTGAAGGTTAGATGTTGGGGTTAGGAATTAAAGTTATGATCCCCGTCACGAAACGGTATCAGATATAATTCCAAAATGGGCGAGACTATAAGTAATGGACGAACCAACAAGGTATAAGATAATAGGCCTCGGATATTGGCGCGAAATTCTTTCATCCAGTTTGGTTAAATAGTTTAAGCATCATAGCTTATGCCAGTTCGTGATGAAAACCCGAAATTTGATTCCTGACGTTAATCATCAACTTTGAAACATAGTTCTAAATCCTCACACAAGTTTAGAACCCTCATTTGGTCATGGATATTAGGTGGACACTCTCAAGGTCAATCTAGCTTAGCTTAAATGTCGTCCATAATTTATAGCCTCACCTCGAAATGTTACTAAGCATTATGCACAAACATACTTTGATCCAAATTCCAAGACTTGCCATCTTTGTGTTCCAACACTTAATCCGTTCATTACAGTCCCACTATTTCTAATTCTCTTTTATTATTTGCGTGGGAAGTAGCTCATGTGGTAAGAATACGAACTTGACATCAGCCTGTGAGGCATTCACAATTTTGATTTTACACGTTATGAGTTTACGGATTCATTTAGACTAGACCAATATAGAGTCGCACAAGATAAATAAAAAACAACAAAAACAAAATATGAGGGACATGTAGTTAGGATGGTTGTAACGGATCCTTAATTTGATGAGCCTGATGATATGACTGATATCTAGTCGCTTGAGTATTAAAACGCTACCTACGGGTTACTGCGACGATAGGACGGCCTTTGCTGTGCGCGAACCGCCATTCTGACGGAATTTCTAATCACGCGGTCGTTTCCCGATCATTGCTTTTAACATGAAGTACCTTCGTGAAGGATTTGTAGTGACTCACGTTTATCACGAGAACACGACTGGTTTAATAAAAACAATTATTATTATAACCAACTGTACCAGGTATCGCAGCTACTTTACGCCTCATCGCTGCACGATACGTCTGGCCGTCCATGAACAAAGATGTTCGTATGTGGGCTAAGCAATGCTTACAATGTCAACGATCAAAAGTGCACAGGCACGTAGCCGCTCCTCTCGGTACATTCGCTACGCCTGATGCTCGCTTCGATCACGTTCACTTAGACATTGTAGGACCACTGCCACCATCGCACGGGTATGATCACTTACTCACGTGCATCGACCGCTTCACCAGATGGCCCGAAGCTATACCCATCACGTCTATCACGGCGGAGACAGTTGCTCACCGCTTCGTAGAACGATGGATAGCTCTATATGGTTGTCCCTCGACCGTCACGACTGACCGAGGACAACAATTTGAGTCCGCACTATTCTCCTCACTTACTCGGCTGCTTGGTACGGAGCGAATACGCACTACCGCCTACCATCCAGCTTCAAACGGTTTAGTTGAAAGGTTTCACCGTCAACTTAAAAGTGCTCTTCGAGCACACGAAAACGACGACTGGTACGAAACCTTACCGCTCGTTCTTTTAGGTATCAGAACGAGTTTAAAGGCAGATATCCAATGTTCCGCCGCTGAACTTGTATACGGCACGACATTGCGTCTGCCCGGGGAATTCTTCACACCACGGAGCAGACATGATTTCGCTAAATCAGACTACGTCCAACGACTGTCTGCATTTATGCGAACGCTGTCTCCGGTGTCAACTCGAATACAACATCGACAGGTCGCTCTCCCTCGAGAGTTATCTACCTGTTCACATGTTTTCATACGAGTAGATTCGGTACGCAAACCTTTGCAACAACCTTACGAAGGCCCTTTTCGCGTGATCGCTCGTCACGAAAAGACCTTCAAGGTTGATCGACACGGCCGCGTCGAGATCGTCAGCATTGATCGTCTCAAACCAGCACACGTCGATGACAGTGCCCTATCTGATAACCTGAGATTCAATGCTAGACCAAGTAAACCTACTAGCGGGATCCTCAAACCACCTTCAGGTCCCACGCTAGATACAACTGAGACCTCACTCTCACGTCCCAGTCAACAGCACGCGTCATCTGCACCGTCTACGGACGAGACGACAGTCTCACGTCCAGATCAGCAGACCACGCCGCCCTTGACTTCGGATGAGATTGCAGGCTCACGCGACGCGAACGAGACTATCGTCTCACGTTCCGGTCGCCGAGTACGGTTACCCGTACGCTTCCTCGATTAGTCGCACAGTCGACAACCGATACGGTGTAGGAATATTCCTATGCTACTTGCATGCTACACTCTTCTTTTTTGATTTTCTTTTTGTTTCCTGAGCCCACGCCTTCGACCATCTCCGTTTGGTTCCGTCGACTTCAGTCAACTTTGGCGAAAGCTGGCCTGATCACCCACGCTCTTGTCAACGTACTCAGTCGATATATTGGTTTCGAATGCTTGGCATACGCTTGGTCGCGAACTTGGTCGTTACGGTCGCTTCTGGTCTTTTGGCTCAACGTGGTTTCGTCCTACGTCTGCAGCGTTTCTGGTGCGCACCTCTACGAACGCCCTCTTCAGATTCTGGATACAAACCACTCTGGTGTAGCATGCCAACTCGAGCAATCAATACAACACATCGCTCCTGGTACCGTTCTCCGAAAACGACCTTCGTTGGCAACTCGACGATCAACGATCGCTTTCCTGTTCGCCAATCTTTCCGTCCTACAATCGCTCGTCAGCCGATCAGTCCCACGATTCAAACCGCTATTTATCGAAAGTGTAAACCCTTTCTAGCGGGGGGCTCCTGTAGTGACTCACGTTTATCACGAGAACACGACTGGTTTAATAAAAACAATTATTATTATAACCAACTGTACCAGTGTTTGTTTTAATGTGCTTTTGTTTAACTGTGCTAATCGTAGCCATTTTGTGCTTCCATTACCTTCCATTATTGTTCCGCGGTTTTTGGTACTGCTCGCACGTACTCCCGTTTCTGCTTTCACTTGTACCATTCCTTGGCACGATCTCGGTATTCGTTCAATACCACGAGATCGCCAACGAAATAAATCTGGTTACGATCGATCCTCGCCTTCTGATTTGTCTGGCACGTGTTTCTGGGTAGCGGTGTTCACAGTTAATCTCAACTCGACGCCACGCTACAATTGGTGATCCCAAAGTTTGGAACACGCCTCAACCTCGGGTCAAATCTTCCAAAGAAGCCAATTTGGTGAGTCTATTATTTATCTATCCACGTCTGTCGTATATTTTCATAATAATTTTTAATATATAATATACACGACATGACGGATAGCGAGAAGAATACTATTAATGCTATAGACTCAGATGTACAGGCCATTCATTTTCGACCTGTATCATTTATCCCCCACGACCCTGAGGTCTGGTTTGCTGCGTTAGAGTCTCAGTTCGAGACTCGTCGCATCACGAGCCAAAGGCAAAAATACGCCTACGCTCTCGAGTCATTACCCGGGGACCACTTAGTAGCTGTTCGTGAGGTTGTCCTCAATTCTAACGTACCTAATGTTTATGATCGCCTCAAAGAGGCAATTCTCCGACATTTCCTCCCATCGAGGGAGGAACGATTGAGGACACTGTTAGCACGTCACCCCCTGGGTGATGCTAAACCGAGCCACCACCTCACGCGCCTGCAATCTCTTGCAGGACCAACAGCAAGTGACTCAGAAATAGTTAAGGAATTGTGGCTAGAGTCACTACCAGCACATATCCAACCCACTGTGACGGCACTGCTCGAGGACTCACCGCTTGACCAGGTAGCCCTCATAGCAGATAAAATTTTAGCGAGGACTAGCAATAAAGATACCTATGTAGTTGCTTCAACGGCACGTCCTAAAGTAGACTTGGACGCCGGTCATTCCTCAGCTCATGGCGACAGGGACGGGTGTATCCACACACGTCTTAGTTTTCGAGACCGTTGTAACGTACCCCAACCCTACGTCCCCCGAGCTCGCTCAAGTTCTCGCAAACGCGTCACCACTCGCCCAAAAAGGGCATCTTCCAAGCCACGCCGGAAGGCGGCTACGGAAGCGAGTGATAGTTGGTGCTGGTTCCATAGGTCCTTCGGGTCTGGCGCCCGCCGTTGTCGAGCACCATGCTCATACAAGGCGGGAAACGCCAGCGCCGGCGAGTAAAAGCGGCCGTACTCGCCGGCCCCTCACTCCAGGTTGGTCGCCTATTCTATGTGCACGATTACCGCACGAACGCTAGGTTCCTAGTAGACACTGGGGCCCAAGTTTCTGTCGTACCACGAGGTAGCAGCAAGTCACAAGCCACAGCGCTTCGACTACGCGCTGCGAATGGCTCAGTCATTCCTACCTACGGTACACGACAACTCGCGGTCAACCTGGGCAACCGACGACGGTATCTGTGGACGTTCATCATTGCTGATGTTCCCACAGCCATACTAGGTATCGATTTTCTACAGCACTATGAATTGCTTGTCGATTCACGTAGGCTGCAGCTAATCGATACTTCGTCGAACAGCAAATTCATGGGCCGTAAAGCCCACATGAACGCGTACCGAATCCTCGGCACTTTTTACTCGCGTGACGATAAATTCCACGCTTTATTCGAGAAATTCCCCGTACTCACTAAACCACTCGAGGAGCTTCCATCGGTGACCAATCCTGTGGTACACCACATAGTCACCCGCGGACCGCCAGTCACGGCACGACCTCGCCGACTGGCACCGGACAAATTAGCTTTTGCTAAGCAAGAGTTTGACAATTTACTAGCTACTGGTATTATTCGTCCTTCTCACAGTCCATGGGCCTCTCCTCTTCACATGGTGCGCAAAAAAGATGGGGTTAGTTGGAGACCATGCGGCGACTACCGAGCTCTAAACGTAGTTACGCGCTTTGATAGCTACCCCATCCCCCACATACACGACATCACGGCATCGCTCAAGGGCACGACTATCTTTTCTAAGATCGATCTGGTACGAGCATATCATCAGATCCCAGTCGCTCTTGAAGATATCGAAAAGACTGCTATCACGACTCCTTTCGGTTTGTTTGAGTTCCTACGAATGCCATTTGGATTACGGAATGCTGCTCAAACTTTTCAAAGGTTTATCGATAGCATTGTACGAGACCTCGATTTTGTTCACGTCTATATTGATGACCTGCTAATCGCATCATCAAACGTAGATGAACATTATCAACATCTTACGCTATTATTCCAACGCCTTTCGGATAATGGAATAGTAGTTAACCCAGACAAATGCGAGTTAGGTAAACGAGAAATCATATTTCTGGGTCATGTCATCAAGCAAGAGGGTATTTTACCTTGTGAGGACAAAGTGCAAGCGATAAAGGAGTACAACGAGCCGTCCTCACTCAAGGAACTGAAGGCTTTTCTCGGTTTGGTTAACTTCTACCGTCGTTTCATCCCACACGCGGCAGAACGGTTACGACCACTAACCGACTTACTACGCGGCAACCCACGCAGATTGGAAATGAACGATTCTGCACGTACTGCATTCACTGAAATCAAAACGGCTCTTGCGCAAGCCACTCTTCTCGCCCATCACGATCCATCAGCCACGCTTAGTATAGCGGTTGATGCATCCGATGTCGCTATAGGAGCAGTCATGCAACAAAACATCTCCGGTAGTTGGCAACCTCTCGAGTTCTTCTCACGACGCCTTACTACCACGGAGACGAGATATAGCGCTTTTGGTCGCGAGCTGCTAGCAGCCTACTGCGCCATCAAACATTTTCGGCACGCAGTAGAAGGACGTCAATTCATTTTATTCACCGACCATAAGCCCTTAACGTATGCTTTGCATACCAAGTCTGACCGCTACTCACCACGAGAGTGCAGACATTTGGACTATATCTCTCAGTTCACGGCAGATCTTCGTCACA